GACGACGTCGTTTCAAGGATAAAGGTTTGGGGTCGGTCCGAGTGAGACGGGTCGGGTTTGTTGATGGGTTATGGGGAATTGATCTTGGTCGTTGATCAATTTAAGATCAACGGCCCAGATCAACCTGTATCAAAACGACGTCGTTTGGATTCTCTGGGCATCGGGTGGCCTGGACCGGGCAGGCCTGGGTCTTGGGCTGAGTTTGTTGGGCCAATTTTAACAAATTGGCCCAAGTCCGGAAGGGGTCTTTTCCTTTCTTTTTTTTTTCTTTTTTTTTTATTATAAAAACACAAAACTAAGTAAAATCAAATTAAAATAAACACCTAATACAATTATTTGCACACACATTAAAATGATCCAAAACAGGTAAAAATTAAACAAAACAAAATCACGGGCAAAGATGCCTGTTCATGCTTTTTCTATTTAACAACCATGTTACGGTTCAGATCATGCATGACACGTACATTTTTTGTATTTTGTTTTAATAAAGTAAAAATGGGCCAAAGTCATAAACAATTAACGAAGTGCCATGTAAAAATCTCAAAATTGTACAACGGGATCAATTGTTGTTATTTTTTATTTCTTTTGGAGCGATTGTCTCGTGAAACAAAAATCACGTGCTCACACTGATGGTAGAAGACTAGTAGTTGAAGGAACCCTTCGATGACATTTTCTATCTTGTTCTAAGGATTTTATGCATGTTACCATGTTTCTTAGCCAAATTTGAAGTTCCTCTTTGCTTTCAGTCACCCTTCATTTTTTGCTGTCAATCCGTTTGCGCTTCTACAATTATAATGAAGCCAGAAACTTGCAGTACAGTGTTACAACAAAGAGATGGACTACTCGTTATGAAAAATAACTACTAACATATCTAAGGCACATAAAATTGACAAGAAAGCTTATTAATTGATGGATAACAACTTAGCTGTCGTACATCTTTTTGATGAACCTTCAACATCTTAATTTACTTATGACATAGCCAAGAAAGGAGAAGTAAGAGTCAAACTTGCACTATTGTGTAACAGATGTCCACCGATACCACAAGCTATGAGTCTTGGTGGTAACATTAGCCAAAAGATTCAGCACATAGGAAAGAACAAAACCCAATAGGTTTTGAGATGCAACCCCAGCAATTAGCTACAGAGGTTGGGAATGCATGTTCCTTCTTCTGGATTCTGTTGTTCCTTCCATATTCTTCCAGTCACCCGTAGCTTGAGCTCCTTTCTGTCCCCACCGGAGAAGAATAGGGCCATGTTACGTTGTATTAGGAGCCCGTCATGGCTATCCCTAACTTTCCTATGACTGTCTCTTATACTTCGGGGTGTACCTTCCCAGATAAGCTTCCTTCCATTTCCCCCTACTTCCAGGCTGTAGCTGTAGTTTCGTGCCTCTGTCTCGTCTCCCATAAACCGAAGGAATGCCATGTATACGGGTGCCATTCCAAGCTGAAATGCTTCAAAATGGAGACAGAAGTACTGACCAAAACAATTGAAAACCTGAAAAAGGTGACGGAAAAGGTCACTCTAAATTTGAATATAACAAGCTTTAGGAAATAGTTCTGAAACGAGGAACAATAACACGTTAAATGAGGTATGAGATGTGACTCGCAATTTTAGTAGCAGGAGCAGCATGAGTAATATTCGGTTCAGATACCTCTTTGAGCAAATTTAAACTGAAAAAGTATATGGACAGAGAAGTCATACACTTAATGAGATACTTCAAACTGGGACAGACCATCAAGTGTGAAGAGAATCCTATTGAATGCAATTGCACAGCAGATGAAATAACTATAACTTCTATGCAAGGGCCTAAAATAGTGCCTACTAAAAAAACTATATACAGAGTGTTGGTAAGCCATTACCCAATTTTTACAAGTACAACTATATACAGCGCCTTAACAAAAATTTAGATCCTCAATTTAATAAAGCTGTCAAAGACTCAGTTCTTGACATGATTACTTGAAACCCACAAAAAAAAGATAGTCAACTTACAGTTAACATCCACGTGGCATTTTCCACTTCCCGAGGATTAGATTTGACATAGCGATGGTTAAAAGTGCATCCAGAGTGCATGTCTACCTTGTGATCATCCTTCAAATGAGTAACCAAATAAGGAATATCACCAACAACTGCACACTCCGACCCAGCATACGGGCAGTTGTATGGTCTAAAATTACACGCTGACTCATGTTTCAGCTTACTGTAATAAGGAAATATCTCAGGACATCCAAGAGAGCCATATTTGCAAGGCAGCTCAAGTGATTCAGCCACCTTTTCTAGTGCTAAACATCTGATATCGCCAAGCTCCTGTCTACAAGTGGGACATCGGTTGTGTACTCTCGCTTTACACGTTGAACAGATAGTGTGCCCATTGTGACACTGCAGCAACAACATATGAAATATCATTAGTATAGTATACTGATGAAAGTGATGACATTGTTAAGATTCATTAGAGCTCCCAGTTAACATTAGCTAAATTCACTTTGGTTTAACTTGTTGTGATGCTCATTTCAGTATCTGTGTTTTGTGATGTAGCCTCTAAATTTCCACAGAATTTCACAACTTTAGGGTTCAAAAATCTCCTTTTAATTAGAGAAGAAGTTAATGCATCACTTTGGAGGCATTAGTAGCTAGAGACTACCCTAAGATGAAAGTGATCTATATGATTCAAACCATAGACACGTTACACAATACATAAAGGACAAGGGTATTTTTAAAAATAATTCATTTTCCATTCAACTAATAAACCGAACACATAATACAGAAGTACATTGCTGTGCTAGCCATAGACCAGAGGTATTATAGTGATGCTTTTCTACCATTACCCAAACAATCCTCCGGCGTGATAAAAGACTCCCGAATCTGAAGAAGCTAATCTTATCCTCACTAGAAATATAAATACTCAAAGTGCAAAAACATATTCCAACTACCAAAGATGGAATTGTGCAAGATGAATATAGGAAAAATCAAATGCCTCAGAGAAAACCTCTAGGTCAAGATAAATTAATACTAAAAATGCTATAGCCTATCAAACCATCAAAGAAAGATGCTTTTAAATATGGAAAGTGGTCTTGATTCTAAATCTTTGGCTTTACTCCCGCACTGATTCCTTGGGGTATACTCGGATGCTGACAAGAGGATTTACCCTACTACAATCAGAGTGCTGATAATTTGCAACCCTGTTAAGAACTTAGACTTTTCAGTGCTCACACTTTTGTTAAATCCAGGAAGCTGTTGGAACCTAATTACTTCTGAAATATGATTTAACTGAATACAAACCAAATGAAGATAAACTACCAGCTACTAAACCAGCAATTGGAGAGGTAAAAGTCCTCAGTGGCTCCTTTACTAAGACCGAAAACAAGGAGACACCCATCACATTCTGAGTTATGAATATTAATTCAGCACAAATACTCCACCTCAATGCCCAGTCCTAAATTTCTTTCCGTAGCTACCTTTTAATATAAAACATAACTAGTGTTCCCTGACTTCCTAAGGACAGTCAGTCTTCTTATGACCAGCTTCTTTGCACTTCCAGCACTTAATTAATGCCCGTTATAAGTTAAATGCAATGTGAGTGTGCAACCGCTCCCATTAGTCATTGGAGGGGGAGCCTTGGCGTAACTGGTGAAATTGGTGTCATGTGATCGGGAGGTCACAGGTTTAAGCCGTGGAAACAGCCTCTTGCAGAAATGCAAGGTAAGGTTGTGTACAATAGACCCTTGTAGTCTGACCCTTCCCCGTACAACGCGCATAGCGAGAGCTTAGTGCACCGGGCTGCCCTTTTTTTTACCTTAAAAAAAAAAGCACTGTAGAAATTTTTTACATGGAGTAAGCAATACAAACCAGCAGCATGACTCACTAAGTCAAAAGTTGTGGAAAATTTCTGAATTATTGGTTGATGCCCTTCTTCCTAAATCACTTCAGCGGACTTTTCAGCCATTCCCTAACTCCAAATAGACAAGAATCCGATGCAAAACAAACTCATGAAACCCATGTAATGCCTCAAGGTCCTAAAAGTAGGGGGGGGTGGAAATCCTCAAATCTAATTCATTTACTAACTACAAAAAAATAACCAAATTTACACCATCTCACCTCGCTCTCAGCCTATCCGCCCAATAGAAAAAAATCTATAAAAATTGAAAGAAAAGAAAACTATAATTTAAGGAAAAAGATCTCGTGAAACAATAATGCCATAAAAACGTGTTCGTAAAATTAATCTAGGAAAAAACTAGTGAAAAATATATAGCACAGTCCAAGGAAAAAATTAATCTTTCCTCAATCAACCCCTCAAACAGATCAGGGAAACAAAAATTTCAGAATAGCACAATGTGGAACATCAATTTACCAAACAAAATCCAATCTTGCCTCAATAAAGGGAAAACACAAAACCCAAAATTGCAAAATGTGGAAACATAATTTACCAAAACTTGTTAAATTATCAAAAAGCAAACAAATTGAAAAGGTGGAACCTGATGGATGGGAGGGTACATAGAATTGGTACAAACAGGGCATTCAAGAAGCTCATGAACGCTAGTAGCTGGATTTATAGCAATTCCCCCTTTATTGCTATTCCCATCACATAATATGCTGGTGCTATTGTTGTTATTGTGGGCCGTCTTGAACTGAGAACGAATTATATTTATGTGTTGAGGAATCTCATCTTCATCTATAATACCATCTGAAGATGATACACATTCAATGCTATCATACTCCATTTAATATGTTCGACTCTCGATTCAACAAAATCAAGAAATGATTCAAAAATTTGTCCTTTGAGTATTTTCTGGTTTTGGGTGAGATGAATTTCCTGGAATTATTGATGGTTTTTATGGGGTGTAAGTTACAAACAATTGTTTGATTTTCAAAAGAGAAAAATAGGTAAACAAATGGAGCGGGGTGGTGGGGAGGAGGGTTTGGAATTTGTCTTTGGGGAAGGAGGAAAAAGGATGGTGCTTCTTCCCTTTTGTCTTTTTCTTTCTTTTTTTTAAATCAATTAATTAATTATATGTTAATTTAATTTAAACTAATTGAAGTCCATTTGTATCAATGATCTAACTTCATTCTAATTCAAGTTTAAATTATTCTAATATAAAATAATTTTAATTAATGTCATTCAAGTATCAATGTATGACTTGTTCACACGAATATGGTTGGACCAATTCACTCACCATTCGTCTAACTTCCATCATTGTAATTTTTAAAATTCTTAAATATTTACTTCTCTTACAATTTGAGTTCGTTTTCATCTTTTAGGTTAAATGGTTAAGATTTTAGATTTTCATTATATTGCTTTGACACGAATATGGATGCTAGTTGTTAAGAAGTTACAACTTTTTGTTTCTTTTTTCAATTCTATGATGGGAAGAAAATACTCAACTTATTTCACATGATTAAAAACAAATAGAATAAAACATGTAAGTCAACACCAAAGTTTAATTATTTAATTGAAAATTAGTGCCTTATAGATTTTTGTGGGTTTTTCGAACCATAGCTCCTAGTAGTTAAGTTGGTAATTTTCATTAAGTCAATTTGTTTGGTTAGCTTTACGAAAGTATTTAATTTCTTGACTATATTAGTCGCCAAATTGAATAACTAACTTGCATAATATTAACAAACTAAATAACTTTATTTTTTAATATTATGTGTTCGGTTTGTTTTTTTTACACTAGAAATATGAAAACGAAAAAAGAAATAAACACAAATGACATGGTGCTATTTAGGGGCAAAATCACCTTTTACAAAGGGTGGTCAACTAACCATTCTTTACCGAAATATTATGAAAAATTACATTATGCATATAAGTAAAATACTGATTTTGGATGTATAAAATATATATTGAACACCCTTTATCGAAAATTTATTTCTAGTTCTTTCAAGTTTAAACATTCTTGAAAATATTTCTGACTTCACCACTGATGCTATTAGGTTATCATCGTCTAACTAAAAACTCGGCATTTAGTGGTTCAATCTAGTTGATTTCTGAAAGTATAAAGAAGTTTAGCTCATAATAATTTTGTGGTTTGTTGTATGAGAAAATTAACAAGAATTAGGTTTCACAAAGCATCAAAAGGTACTTTGTGTAATTTAGTGGAATAAAAGCAAGACTTGGGTTAAAAGTTACTTAAAGTGGATTGGCCACTAGCAAATAGTACCTGCATTAGTGGCTCAAGAAAGAAAAGAATCAGTCCATCACTAGTTGCAAAAGGGAAATCATGTAAAGAACTAACACCAATTTCAGTCAAATCTCTTTATAACATATTTGTTTGTTCCAAATATTTTTGAATATTATAGTGAAGTGTTGTTATAGAAAACATATATTATAAAATAACATAAAATTTAATTCCGAAAAAATTTAATTTTTATAGTAAAATATTGTTATATAGGAATATTGCCATATGATTGTATTTACTTCCACATATCCTTTTTTATTTGTGTTTTTGTTATAATCACACAACACGGAAATTTCACTATTGAATTTTGTGCGTTTCAACTTTCAACACGTATCACATCCTTGCACTAACTTAAACTTTGAATGAGTAACTGTAGGCAAGCTTATTTTTAAGACATTGACACATATAGGGTGGAATAGATGAGATAAGCCATATTAATGGAAGGAGAATCTAGCTTTCTTAGCCGTTGGAGAAGAAGCAAAAAAACATAGTGACATACAAGATAGGATAAGTACCAACTTTTCTGTATGTTTCCACTTGACAGCTTATATTAGTTGTTAATTGCCTCTGCATAGTTGTTGCAATCTTATTTAATCGTTGCACGTTGTTTCTCCACTTTTTCCTCCACCCTCCCCTCGTCTTGACTTTTCATTTGATGTTTATTTGACTTTCATGCATCTATAGTGCTTGACTGAAAAGTTGTAAAATACTTTTAAAGCAAATCAATCAAAAGAGATAGAAGGGATAAATTATAGTCGATCCTAATTGATGATGGATCAAAAAATAAAATTGAAACATGGAAGTAATAGACAGAAATAATAATTGGGGAGTTTTATTGATCATAGAAATTTGCCCTGCCTCTCCTTAGAGAGGTTCAGGGAATTACAATCATATTGCCCCTCATGGATAGTCGAAAAATGGATCTCCCCTTGCCCGTAGGTTCAAGGTTCTATTCATGGAGTTTCACTCTCCCTTTTTCGGGTTGTCTTTGTAGTGGAGAAGAAGGCTAAGGCCGGAGCCCCTTTTCAGCTCTCTTACCTTGTATTTATAGTTGAAAGGAAAACCTCTAAATTTTCTACGATGGTCGTGGTCATGTAGGAGAGATGTTCTTTCGTCGTGGGGAGGCCTTGGCCTCGTTGCTTGTATTGGAAATGACAATAATGAATTGGAGTCGAGTCGGTTGACTACTCTCACGAATTGATTAGGACGGGGTCGTTACCGTCATAGTCATATGGTCAGATTTTGACCAATACAGTTAGTCCCTCTGTTCGTCGGGTCGTGCCTTGCCGACCTCGGCAGACGGATCGTGTGTGTGACACGGTCGAGGGGAGTTAGATTCGCCTTTTATTCCTTAGTCGCGTTATGACTTTTCAAAATTTCCCGGGGGCGTCTTTCTGGTATTCGTGTACCGTCACGACGGTTTCGAAGCTGAAGCGTCGGTTGGTAAACAAAACGTCACTTCGTGCAGACAGTCATAATGGCGCACGTTTCCGATAAGTTGAACCGTTTCGCGCTCGGTCAGGTTCTAATGGCGACTATTGGGTTTCGTGCTTGAAGAATTTATGTCTTATAAATTGAAGAAATCGGTCACTTGCTTTTCACATTTCACCGCTCATCTTCGAGAGAATTTCCAGGATATCTTCCTTTCTGCTAATTTGAGTCCTTTCTTTACTCCCTTGCTTGCGATAATTTTCAATTTTTGTACCTCTTCCGCAAAGTTCTTTCTTCTCCTTTTTTGTGGGTCTAAGATGGCAGGAACTTTTTCCCGTGATAATCTTTCGGCTACCCCTCCGGCAGTTAAGAACCCTGCTCCAGCAATCGGAGACACAAAACCGATAGAGAGCGAAGATGTTCCTTCAGAAGAGGAGATATTATCCCGCCCGGGGAGAGCAGTGATAGATTGCGGTGTCGATAGCAGCGAGGAGCAGATGGATATTCCTCCCCCCATAGGGGATGTCGGGATAGCGGATTTACGGGAACGGTGGGTCATTCCCAATTACGTTGAGATGGTACCGGCAGGTAGAGATGACAGGGTCCAAATCGACCGCCTCGGGTTCTGCATGTTCTATGCTTACCCCTTCCTCGTGGGATACACGCTCCCACTTCCCATGTTGGTGGTTGACTTCTGCCGTTATTACAAGGTGTGTCCTGCCTAACTCTCTCCTTATCTGTACAAGTTGTTCCTCATGTTTATCAAGTACGTGGAGTTAGCCGGTCGCGAGGTCACTCTGAGGCACGTGCTCAGCCTATCGCTCCCCAGAAAATTCGCGGCACAATGATCCATGCGCGCCCTCGAGGGTCAAAAGGCTTAGTGGTAAAGATGGATGATAGGACCAATCGTCGCTTCTTTGAAAACTTCTTCTATGTGCGGACCGAGCACCTGGTGGCGGATCCAACCAGATTTCCCGAAGTGTGGAATTTTGCCCGTAAGTCTGTCCCTGATTAGCGAAATACCTGTTTTGTCCTTGTCCTTTTTATATCTTATATCGTAAATGTTGATCTCCTTCGTCGTCTTGCAGCCGAGAAGCTACCCCCGCCTCCTTTGGAGGGGATTAGAGAATGGGTCGAGGTTGTCCTTCCTCATACCGCAAGGGTTCGCACGTGGGCAACATTTTATGAGAGATATGGGCGTAGGGCCCTTACGGGTGAGATAGCGCCCTTATTTTCTACCCGTCTTTTTTTCGTTTTAATCTTATCTTTTGAATATTTGTTTGTCGTGAACAGGGAGAGTTCGCAGAGTCAGGGCTCCTCAGCTAGCCTTCCGTCGGCCAGCTGCATCGGCTTGCCTCAGCGCGGTACCTGCTGCTCGTTTCTCATCGAGGGCCGCCTCGGTCGAGTCCACGGCCTTAGCTACTCCGACTCGGGCGGCCTCCCAGGACGAGGTTCCCTCTGGTGTTGTACGTCCTCAGGATGACTCACCGTCAACCGGGGAGGAAGAAGGACCATCGAAGAGACGGAGAGTGGGGTTCGAGGTGGCGCCCCCGACTGTGATCAATTTGGATTCTCCTCCGACGGGCCCAGAGGAAAATATTGTTGCACTGTCTTCCACAAGGGTGGAGCGGGTAGTTGATGTTGATGCTGGCGTTTAGAGCCAGGAAAATGTAGTCGTTATGGCGGTTCAATCTGACGTTCCTGTTGCGGATAATACGGGACGTCCTGCTGGAGTTGATAACCCATCCCTTAGCACTGTCGTGGTGACCTCAAGCGCGCCTTTTTCATCTGTGGTGGGTCGTGTTCCCCCCTCGGCGGCTGAGAGAGGGAAGAGTGTAGTGGTTGATGAATACGAGTCTGAATCCGACGTGGACCCTGATGATGTTTGGATGTTTGAGGAGGACATTACCCACTCAATGGTACGTGCGGGAGGGGCGGCCCGTATGATCGAGATTCCCTTCGATTTGAACCTTTTGGTGCAGGGGGACAACTTGGTGCCGCAACTCAGCCTGCTGTGTTCGGAGGCCGTGAATGGGTCTCTGCGGAACATCCCAAACGCCGAAGTGAGGGATGAAGTGGCTGTGATGGGTTTGCGGGTATGTCATCTCGGATTTTGGTTTGTTTTTTTTTCTTTGTCGCAAAAGTGCATTGTTTTGACTACTTTCACTCTTTTCCTTTTTCAGACGTACCTGTTGGAGATGGAGAACATCCGTAGGGCCAATATCAGGTCGAGGATCTTTTTGCAGATGTTGGGGAAGTACCGTCGCTACCGCAATAGGTGCCGCGAGTTGCACGAGAGGTTGAGGACGGACCCTCGCAATCGAGCTCTAGGCGAGGAACTGGAGAGGAGGGATCGCGAGCTAATGCAGACGATCCGCACTAAGAGCGAGCTTGAAGATCAACTTCGCCTTAAGGACGAGGAGCTCGAGCTGGGAAAGGGGGTTGCCGCCGAATGCGAGCACTTGCAGGGCCAGCTGAGGGAGACACAGTTGGAGGTGGATCGGCGTCGGGGCCAGTTCGAGGAGGCGAGCGCCGAATGGAGGAGGAAGCTTTCTGCGATGGCGGGCAGGGTCGCCGACTTGGAGCGTATTGAGAGAGCTTGGTCTGAGGCCTTATCGAGGGCAGCGACTCTGGAAGAGACTATCCGTGTACTCCAGTCCCAGTAAGAAACGGAGAGGGGGACTAATAAGTTAGGATTTTAACGTGTTTTATGTCCCTACTTGCCTATGGTTTGGGTGTAAATTGCCGCATAATAGTCCCAAAATGCTCACAGGTTGTGCTTGTTTGCAGGTTTGATCGACAAAGTGACGAAATGTCGAAGATCGGCTCAAAAAGAAGTGAAACCTGCTCAAGTATCAAAGATAAAAAAGGAGTGAAACCGGCGAATACGAGATAATTTCATGAGTTTTATTAAATTTACTTAAAGCTAAAAGTTGGTTTTGGAATTCTTATGTTGTCAACCTACAAAATATCTACTTTATTGCTCCAAGGGTACCTACAAGGGTGGTGTCATGCGTCAGTAGATGTTTATTGCTCCAGTCAAGAAACGGGCTTCATTATATGTCGTTGATTTTTTTAATTAACTGCTGAGTTTCACACTAACAGGAGTCATGTAATTGACATACTACACAGGCTATAGAATAGAGGAACCAACAATTAGGGATGACAATGGGACAGTGTGGTTGCGGGGCAGGTTTCAGCTTCACGGGGCGGGTTCTAATTTTTTTTTAAAAAGATTAATGTGGGGCGGGTCACGGGGCTAATTTTTTGAACTAAAACCTAAAACGCTCAATCTTCTTTGACCGTTGTGTTTCCCTTTGAGATGTGTGTTTTCAGAATCTATTTGTTTAACCCATGAAACCTGCAAAATTGTTGTAATCTAATATGGGTTTGCCCTTAAAATTCGATGTCTGCCTCCTATTTTCCCTCATCAAATCTTTATGTGAAATCTATGACCCAAAGTCCAGATTCGAGAAGAAACTAGTCTTTAGAAAATAGTTTTTGATATAAAATGAGATTGCTTTTAAAAAATAATGACAAGTATTCATCAATAAGCGAAATATCTTGAAAAACTAAATACCCCATAAAACTGTTTCATAGTGTAAAATTATTTTAAAGTGAATATTTGTTTAAGTAAAATGAGGTACAGATGAAGAAAACTAAAACAGATGAAGAAAACTAAGTGCTGACACTATGAATTATGATTGCAACTATTGGCCAAAAGAAAAGGTAGAGACAAATTTTTAAAAAAATAAATTTGTNATTCCCAATCTATCAAAAACTAATATGTTATGTCAAGGAATGTGTTACGACCTCACCAAACAAGCAATCACATCATCTAAATTCTACTTGAAATCCTTCACTGCTTTGTACGCCGATTGGTGTGGATTTGACTGACTGTATATCCAAGAAAATGGTGACCTGAGAGTTCTCTCCTTCGGAAATACTGCAGATTTTTCCTTTTGACATACGACAAGTTAAGGCAAAGAAGAACAAAACATGCACTGCATAAAAAACCATAGTGATTGTAAAAATTTCTCCTCATTTATTGGGAAAAGGATGTTCCAATGTATGATGTAAAGATTTACAGTTTGGCAACCTAAATTCTAAGCAGGAAGTGGGACAGAACAAGAAAAAGAATGTTTTGAACCACCAGGAGCAACCATAATATCATAAGCAAAATACAACACCCAGAAACAATGCCAAGACCTATGAGAGAAATAAATAGCATTGATTCATTATCCTACCACTGATTTGGAAAGGCTTCACGGTAATTAGCATCCTCAGCGACCGTTAACTGCCGCACTGTAGCATCCCTAGCACGGCCATTAAGAAGCCTTTGACCCAATCTATCTTTGGCAGTTTTTTTCTTTTTTAACATAGATGCCAGAGTTTCTTTCTTACTCCTGGAAGAAGATCTAGATGACAAAGCTCTATCCTGAACTTCTCCAGCATATAAGGATCTTGAGGTTGACGCCAGCGCAGCATCACGTAGAACTTCTTGATTATGTTCTCGAACTTTTGCAAGCTTCGCCCGCTTCAAAATCTGCTTTTCATGCTCTCTCTTCTTTGTGTCCTCTTTGTCTCTCTGTCGGACATTTTTTACAGCCTGCTTGGCTAATTTTTCCACAAGTTTATCATCTAAATCATGTAGTTTCTCCTCTACTGAAGAGCATCTATTGATGGGCTCTTGTTGCTCCGACTCTGCAGCCTGATCTTCTGTTGATGGGCCTGTATCAATTGGGTTACCTTCATCATCTCGAGGAATAATAGGTCCGTGAAATGGACAAATTTTCAAATCTCTCCTCTGACACAGTCCTCCATTTCTCAAAGGGGCCCGACATGGTTGGATTTCAATTGGATCTTCCCTATAAACAGTTGCATGGACTTTCAACTCTGCAATTTTTTCAGCAGGAATAACAGCATCACTGTCCACCCTACCCCAATGGCCATCAAGATCTAATCCTCTTTGGTTCGCTAAAACATCACTGCTTGATCTTGATCCCCAATCATCTAAGAAAGAACCCCAACTCATAACCGGAGCTTCAGCTAAAAGCTTACCTCTAGAGGTGTCTGTTTCATTGCCACCATTGGCCACCTGCAGCTTATCATTTCCTCTTACGTTAAGATTACTACATTCAGGAGCTTCAACTCTCATTCCACTGAAATTCAGACCCAAGGAACAATCCCCAACTTGGTCAGGCACTTTATGTAATTTTCCATTTTCTGCTTCCACATTACCCTCTTCCCAAATGTCTTCTTCCTCGGCACTTCTAGATTTAGGCAGAGTGCATCCAGATTCTTCACATTTTTTCTTCACTGATTTGAGATGATTATGAATATCAATAAGATCCTTTAATGTGGAGTCCCTAAACCTAGTGTCTGTTGTTTCCACTCTTATGAGAACAGAGATCCATTCTTGCACTGTGACCATATGTTTTGTCACTAGAATCTTGAATAGTTCCCTCAATGCATCAAACACAATTTTATTTTCACTGTCCTCTTTTATTTTTTCTCCTTCCTTCAAAGAATCAAGACGGATTTGACGGAGTTCAGAGTTGCGGAACTCCACAATTTCTTCATCATCTAAAGGAGGCAACAATATATCTTCTTCATCCTTTGTGCTTAAAATGTTCAAACACTCACCAATTTCATCAACTGTCAACTGAATTTCATCCTTTATAGAAGTAAGATTCTCCTTCAAGGTTTCAAATTTCTTCAGTAGGATCTCCTTTGTCCTCATCTCTCTTTCCCTCCTTTCCTGCTGAAGCCTAGCTGCATTTGCTTGCAAGTTTGGAAATTGAAACCGGAGGGTATTCTTCAAATAGTCATACCCCAACCTGAGCTGCCTATAATGAATGCCAAATGAAGAATTCCACTTCTCTAAGAACTCAATTGCTTTGGTGCGTAACACAGAAGCAACAGAAGCAGGAGGTGGAAGTGGCAGAGTCCTTCTGAACCCAACACTTAAAGTGAGTAACTGATCCAAGTTCTCGACGACAATAGTTCTAAAAAGTTTTGAGCGCATGAAGAGTTCATCTATTATGAGAAGAGCGAGATATCGTACCTGTCAAGAGAAACCCATAAGTCAAGTTACTATTAGGAGGTGATGCACAAATATGTCAAGTTGTTTCTAAACTCCATGGGATGAATGTAGCTTAGCACAAGTTTTTAATCCAATTAAAAGAAATAGTTTGTGAATCAGAAAAGTATCCCAGACCATCTGGGGTTTCATAATTGAAAAGTCATAAGCACCTCCCTTGTTGAAAAAATTCATCCTTGTAAGTGCTCCCACTTGAGTTATAGTAAAGTCTTCTTGACAAGAAGTCAACAACGTACTACGGCATTGTGAATCATAGTTCATCTTGGACTTTCACTTGCTTCGTAAGAGAAACCTTTACCTTGGATAACTAAGTGGCTAAATGTTTAAACTGATAGTTTTACTTATGACAAGTACAACAAGGAGTAAATATTACACTAGGAAAGCGGACATCATCCTGGCATACGCCGAGGAGACTATATCTTGAACCAGGCTTTATCTGAAATCTAAAAGTGAGTTTCCCCTTCCAAAAGATGTACTAAACTAAATATTTCATCAATGACCAAAGTGATAAATCCACTGCATTTCTGAAGATATCCTCAATTGGTTCACAAAAATGTCACCCAAACTCTCCACAATAATTCTACATCTTATTTAAAATCCAACCTGGGTAATCTTCAGTGCACTCACTTGCACATACGATTGGCATAGAAAATTTCAAAATATTGCAGTGACAAAAGTTGAAAGACATATTTGAAAGCCAATGCCTCCAATTGATAAGTAACAGATAACAACCACCAATGATCATATAAATCCATGTCAAAGACCCTCAAAGATATAACACTATCAAAAGGGAGTCCAATTGCATTAGTGAAAACTCTCTTAGGCAGACTAAAGAAATGGATGAAGTTGTACTAACAAAACTTATGTTTACTGATTATAATATTAAAGTGAATAAACATATTCAGCTTCTATTTCTAATACAATATCGTAGCGACAATAATAATCCTTCCCACAATTCTGTGAAGAAAGAGATCTGCTCAATGGATTCCTAATGTAAAGCTAACGAATAGAAGAAATTGCTCTTCCTCTGTTTCAGGACAAAGGAATTACAGAATGTTGATATCATTAAGAGAGCATGCGTAAAATAATGAACGTTAAACATCAGTTGGTATGAAATTCGAAATTCGAAATTCCTATGGACTTCAACTGACAAGTCCTCCTCTATTGATTTGCGGTGACGTTGTCTTTTTTTTTTTTTTTTA